CAGGCATCCAGGCTTGCCAGGGCGCCAGGGCGCCAAGCGTCATTTGCACGTCTGTCTGGCAAAGTTTAATAATAACGGCTGCCCGTCAGAGTCGTCACGCAGGAGGCGAGCGTCGGAGCTGAAGCCGTGATGAGGCATTTCAATACGAGCTGCTTGCCGGCGGCCAACTCATTCGACATTGGGCTGGGTGTGGGTTCGGGTTCGTCGCGATGGCGTCACGGCGGCGATGGCGTTTTGCAGCCAAGCCGCTGGGCAAGACGGGAGGAGAGGGTTCCATTCGGCACCCGCTGAGGAACCTGCCCAGGTGGGAGTGGTTCGAGCCCCAGGGGCTTGCATAGAAGGGGGGGTCTTTGCGCTGGGCTGGGTGGGCGAACGACGCCCGAGTTCTGTGCGTTGAGGAATCGGAATTGGAAGCCACAATTTGACGGCTTGGGTTCCCCCCCGGATTGGATGCCGGTCCGTGCCCTCCTCAGCTGGTGACAGCTGATGTTGCGCCATGGAGTTCAGTCGTCAGCGCGGCACTGAGCCGCGATGGTTGTCTTGCCTCTCTGTTGCCCGCGGGTCGAGGCTCGGCCTGTGCTCGGCGATTTTTTGCATGCAGCAACCTTGTTCTGAGGGGACGGCTGGCCGGCGGCGTGAGCACCTCAGCGAGTGAGCGATGGAGTGAGCTGGAGTAAGCACTGGACCGGGCGCGGGTGGAACGACGGCAAGGTCCAGTGGTGCTGTGCGCACCGTCTCTTGCAGCGCGTGAGGGGAGGGCTTCCGCCAGTGTCGAGTTGGTTTCAGCGGCGTGGTGGACGGGCATGATGCCCTGCTGCACCCGCACTGCACAGCACAGCACCCGCCTGTACAAGTAGGTTGTTGGAGCATTTTCGGAGCATCTGGAGGGACGGAGTGCATCTCCGTGAAGCTCGGCGCCCCTGACGTGCCTGGCGCCAACTGCGTCGAGCAGACCTGCCGCGTCGTTGGCGACTCCTGCTGCGACGCCAGAAAGGGGGAGGCCGGTTCTTTTGTCGTGTTGGGAATGGAACGGAGCGGGTTCCCGTCGACTCGACGGCGGCGGAGTCAGCTGCGATGTCCCGGGCGTCAGTGCGTCGCCGACGGCCAACCTACCGGGGGCGGCGGCTTTTACAGTATTTTGCGCGCAGCTGTGCCCGCGTTGTGGGCGTGATGCCCTGTCCCGGATTACCTTATGGAGTCCAGTAGAGACTTGGTACTGTACAGTACAGCCCGCTGCAGTGAGTGCCAGGTGCCATAGGTAGGTGGATGGGGTACTAAGGCAGAACACAGTGCTCGTATAGGTGGGTTCGTCAGAAGAGGCGAGGCATCTTCACTTGCCTGCAAGGGAGCAGCCGAAATGATGGCTGAGGCGTGACTGTTTGACGTTGAGTGCGTTGGCTGTTCTTGCTCCTGGTTTCTTTTCTTTTTGTTGTTTCCTCTGGCTTGGCGGTCTGGATTCACGATGCAAGATTCAATGCAACGGAAGCTGGAGATGCCGTCCATGGGTGGCATGTGGTTGCTCACTCGCTCGGTCGCGCCTTCCGCAGGTCGCGTGCGTGAGCGACAGTTCCGCAGCGACATTTCCCGCCCTCCCGCCTCGCCCATGTTCCGCTCTGCGCTGTTCTGTCTCGCCCCCTTCCGATCTCGCCTGGCCCTGCTTGGATCAGTAAGTGACTCGCCGCTCGCCCTGTCGAGATGTTGGCTGGCTGCCTGGCATCCATCCTGGCGGCATGGCTGGCGGGCTGCTCTTCTTGTCCTATTGCCCAATTCGTGACAGACGCGGCCAACAAGACACCCCCATCGCAATCGCAAATCGCAATCGACATCGCCAATCGCCTGTCTCGGACGGGTGCCCCTCGCCCGCTCGACTGCCCTGCTCTGGCTGCGCTTCTGCGGTATCCAGCTCCAGCGGCCCCGGAGCCATCATCCATTCTTCGCCCAGCGCCGCCGGCCCGCCGCTCGCACGTTGGACGCGATGACGTCTGCGTCGGTCAAGCCACCCGAGCCGAGCTTAAGGCGACGACGCCAACGCAACCGTTACGCCCGGTGGCACCCGTCGGCAGGCAGCGCAATGCGCAATTGTCGCTCGCCCGTCGGCTAGTAGTGGTGCGAAGCAGCCACTGGTGGGCACTGCGGTGGACAGTATACGGCGGAGGGACGGGCACCACCACCCCCAAGAAGAAAGACGGTCAAGCCCAGAGAGGCAGAGACTCGCCTTTTCAAGCCACAGCGCCCACACTCGCTGCGACAACGACGACGCCGCAGATGGATCGTGGCACGCAGGGGAATCCTGGAGAGCCCCGGCGGGTCGCCCCTCGCTGTCGCTTCTTCCTGTCTGTGCCACTCCTCCACTCAAGACGCCAGCAGGGAGACACTGATCCATTCATGACAGAAGCAGCAACAGCCCTTCACCCGCCATCGGTCTGATTTGCTCCGACTGGCTTGGCTGGGTCCGCCCGCCAACACAGTGGCCAACCGCGATCCTGTCATCCAACCATTCCCGCGACCGTCCACAGCCGCCCGAGCCCACCCACACTCTTCACTACAACCATCCATCCGAATCCAAGCCATCCCTCATCCATGGACGCTGTTGGTGGGCCCGCCTGTCGTTACCGCACCGCTTATGGATGCGCCGGCCGGGCCCCGGCACGGAAAACACCAACGGATCCCTCCATCCACATCCAAACCTGCAAGCTTCTCTCGTCCCCGTCTGTTTGCCCTCGCTCGACGCAAACAACCCCTCGAATTGCCCCGTGCTGCCCGCCTCCTGCAGCAGGCACAAAGATTCGATTCCAACAGGGGCCGTTTTATGATCTGTCGGCGCGCCTGACACGGTGCGCTTACTCCTGCGGCGCCCGGCCAGGTACCAAAAAAGGCTCGCGGCTGTTGAGCCACAAGCGTTGGCCACGACCTGCCGCGTCTGTCTCCCGCTTGCCGCGTCGCCTCGCCAGCCCTAGGGTCAAAAGGCATATACCCTCGCCGCCTGCCCTAGGCCTCGGCCTCCCGACGAACGCAGATATTCACACGAGCGCAACGTCGTTCTTTGTGCACGGGTCTCCTCAGCCACCATACCGAGCAATGGCTTTCACCTCTGGCTGCCGCTGTTAACCTCAGCCCGCGACTCTAGCCGTCTCTGCACCCCGGCCGAGTCCTCGAATTGCCGCCGCCTCATGTCGTCTCTCCCGACTCCGCCATGGACGCCTCCTCCGCGACTTCGGACGGTCACGTCCCGAATCGCGGACCCGCCGTCTTCGCCGTCACCACCGCAACGCTTGTTCTCGCCTCCATATTCGTCGGCGCGCGCATCGTCTGCCGGTACTTTATTGTTCGAAATGTCTCTTGGGACGACCGGGTCATGATCTTGGCTTGGCTCATTGCATTTTTCCTGTCCTTCACCATCGATTACGGTGTGACCAAGGGCCTGGGAAAGTATGACCAAGATATCCCGGAAGACGACTGGTCGACGTTGCGCCACTGCGAATATGTCTTTTCAATACTCTATGTAAGCGCATGACCATGCGTTGTGCGGCATTGAGCTGCAGCCGTTGTGTCGCCGCCGCGGACCAGCTAACGTGCAATCCAGAACCCGGCCCTCATGGCCACCAAAACGAGCATTCTGATATTTTACCTCCGCCTCGCCAAGAACACGCAGGTTGTCCTTCGCTACGCCTCGTGGGCCACGTTGATTGTCGTCAACGTCGCCGGCACCGTTCTGACCTTTATGAACATTTTCCAGTGCAGTCCGGTCAGAGCCGCCTGGGACATTCACGTCGAATCGCCTACGAAATGTATCCCCCTCCTCACCGAGTTCATATGTGCCGCGCCGGTCAACATCGTCACCGATCTCGCCATTCTTGCCCTGCCCATACCGGTCCTCACGGGCATGCGCCTCCCGTCGCGGCAGAAAACGATTCTCGTCCTCACCTTCACCCTCGGTATCTTCGTGACAATTGTCGACGTTATCCGCATTTACTATCTCCAGCGTGCCATCTCCGAGGTGCCGACGGGCACGACGACCAGCCCCAATTCTCGCTTTGGCGGACAAACCGACTTTGCTTGGAACGCATCCCTTTCGCTCATGTGGAGCGCCGTTGAGGTGAACGTTGGCATGAGCTGCGCCTGCGTCCCCACCCTGAAACCCCTCATCTTGAAGCTCCTCCCGGCCATGCTGTACGATCCGGATGGCACGAGGACCTCGGCAGGCTCTACGAGCAAAGGGCCGAGCGACTCCGAGACTCCTCCATCGCGGAACCAGGCCGCGGAGATGACGAGCGGGGCCGCGCCCGCGGTTACCGAGCCTCAGCAGTCATACCGCGCAAGCCCCGGTCACGACGCGCCGATGAGTGCCATGGAATTCCTGACGACGCCGGACATGACGTCCCTTCCGGAAAACTCGAATCTCGCCGACATGTCGCGGGCGCGCACTGCGCGAACCGCCTCCACCTCGGGGACGATCGAGAATGGCATTTACTTTGGCTTTGTCAACATGACCAAGCCCAAGAGCATGCTCAAAGCAAACGCATCCGAATCGTTCAAGTACTGCACCATCGTCTCCATCCTCTTCCTCCTCTGGGGCGTGTCATACGGACTGCTCAACACGCTCAACAATGCGGTCGCCTCGGTGGATCAATTCTCAGCGGCGCAGACTCTGGGCCTGACGAGTGCCTACTTTGGCGGGGGCTACTTTTTCGGGCCGCTCCTGGTGGGCGAGTGGATCCTTCGACGCGACGAGCACAACCGCTCCAAGCGACATGAGAAGAACGAAGCCGAGAATGTCGGTGGATTCAAGGTGACCTTTATCGTCGGCCTCTGCATCTACGGCATCGGTACTGTCATCTTCTGGCCATCGGCAGTGACCAACTCGTTCGGCGGGTTCATGCTCAGCAACTTCGTCGTCGGGTTCGGCCTGTCGGTACTGGAAGTAGGCGCCAACTCTTTTATGATATTGTGTGGCCCGCCACAGTACGGTGAGATGCGCCTCCTGCTCGCCCAAGGCGTCCAAGCCGTGGGAAGCGTCATCAGTGGCCTGTTGGCACAAAAGGTCTTTTTTAAGAACCTCACCCAGACCGAGGCGGACCACAGTGCGTCCAACAGCACGACTCTCATCAACGTGCAGTGGACGTATCTGGGGATAACGTTACTTTGCGTCGTCCTTGGCCTCTTTTTCTTCTACATGCCGCTACCCGAAGTGAGCGACGAGGAGCTCGAGGCACTCTCAAAGCGTCTTCCGCTGGACCCAAAGAAGAAGAGCCTCGCGGGCCTGCAACTCCGGACCGTGAGTCTGGTTCTCGCAGTGTTCGCGCAGTACTTGTATGTCGGTGCGCAAGAGAGCAACAGCATCTACTTTCGGAGTTTGATGTTATCGATACTTCCAAACGCGGACGACAGCGGCCAGGGTGCCACGGGGGGCACGAGCGGATCCGACGGGACAGGCAACGCCGACCAGCCGCCCGGTCTGGCGATTTCCATATCCGACTACCTACTCGTCGGTCACACGGCGTTTGCGCTCTCTCGATTCCTGGTCGGCGGTCTCACCTACCTATCAGTCAAGAACCCTCGCCTTCCGCAGCCGCGGACCTACCTCACCATTAGCGTTGCCGGGTGCTTCTTGTTTGCCCTGCTGCCCGTGGTTCTCCGACCGTCGAACCCCGACCTACTGGTCATCCCTATAATGCTGTTCTTCTTTTGTGAAGGCCCCGTCTGGCCGCTGCTCTTCGCCATTGGCCTGCGCGGCCAGGGGCTGAGGACCAAGCGCGCTGCCGCCTTTATCACCATGGGTGGCTCTGGCCCAGCTTTCTTCCCTTTCGTTATGTACGGCATAGTCACCAACGGAGGAACCGTACAAACGGCTTTCATCGTCATCGTTGCACTACAGGTGGCCATGTTTGTCTATCCCGTGTTTTTAGAGTTCTCTGGGGACGCGAAACAACTCGTCGACCCTTGTCCAGATGCCCGCAACGCGCTGCGCGACGACGAAGAGACGACAACTGACGCGGCTGTCGCGAGCAGACACGGACGCAATTCGTCCAAGGAGAAGACGTTGCTTCAAAAGGTCTCGCGAGGCTTGGGCGCCAAGCTCCACGGCCGGCGCAAGTCATCCCACCACACGACTTTCGAGCACAACGAAGGCAGCGTGAAGTCGACGCCACGAACGCCATGAAATACCTAATATATCATACATTCTATTTTCAGCGGAGTTTTGGTTGGATATAGGGTTTGGAAAGACAGTACCCGTCGGGTAGGAGCATCTGGGACATGGATCGGGATTGGGAGGCAGCCGGCGTGCTTGGATACAAGATACCCCAAGGTGTCGCGCCGCGGACAGCGCGTGGCATCGTGTACATATCACGGCGGTATATAAAAGCATACTGGGCATCAAGGATGCCAGCTGGAGGACTATTCGATATTATTAACGGCAACACGCTTCGCAATTGCTACCACTGTGAATTTATGTCCCTTTCAATGGCGTCAAAGACGGCGACGCCTCTGCTCCCCAGCCCTGTTGCCAAGCCCACAACGGCAGCCCCGGCCCTCTTCATCCTCCGGTAGCCGTCTCCGTCGATCACACCCCCGACGCCGATAATGTCCAGATGGCGCAGCTCATCGCTCTCGTCAAACAACCGCCGCAGAGTCGACACGTTGCCCAGCGCCAGCGGATGCAGGGGCGCGCCGGCCATGCCTCCACGGAGCATTGCCCCATTCCCATCTTTATCACTCTCGCTCGCGTCCCTGCCCCCGCCGTCCTCGAAGACGAGACACGAGCCCAGCGTGTTAGTCGCCGTCACGAAGCTCAGCGTCCGGCCGAACGGGCGCAGCGCGTGCACCAGGTCCGCGAACTGCGTGTCGTACGTGAACGGCGGGAGCTTGATCCCCACGGGCACGCGCGGCTGAGGGTCAGTGTCCGTGCCAGCGGCGGCGGCGGCGGTGGCGGTGGCAGCAGGTGCAGGGACTGTCTCTTATACACATCTAGATGTGTATAAGAGACAGGTGCAGGGAGGGCGGCGAGGAACGAGGCGAGTTGGGGCGGGGAGTAGGCGGGCGGCGGGGCGGAGGGGATGTTGGGGCAGGAGAGGTTGACCTCCATGGCGAGGGGGAAGCGGATGGCGGAGGAGGCGGCAGAGAGTAGGATGCGCTCGTGGCAGCGCGCCACGGAGGGGGGATCTCCCGTGACGCTCACGATGACGGTCTTGCGGTGCGTATGCGCGGGTAGGGAGCCGGACAGGCGCGCCAAGATGGCGAGGTAGCCGTCGAGCGTGATGGGGCTGTAGCCGAGCGAGTTGACGCTGCCGACGGCCGCCGGCCGCTCCTCCGCCTGCCTCGCATCATCACCACAACCATCATCATCCACCGCCGCAGCAGCAGCAGCGACAGAGTCTCCCCGTCGCGCCGCCGCCGCTGTCGTCGTCGTCGTTGTTATCGTCGTCGCCGGATCAAACAGCACAAACCGATGCGCCGCATCATCGTGCGCAAACCCGCCCAGCAGACTCGTCCGCGTGGTGACGGCCCCCGTGGCGGCGCAGGACAGCAGCGCGGCGAGGTCCGTCTCGGTGGTGGCCCAGGGGCAGGCCGTGTTGAGGAGCGGCGGGTGGATGCTCAGCTTGGGCGGCGGCAGCGGCATCTGGAGGGCGGGCGTGTTTTCACCCTCCTGCCCCAGTTGTTGCTGCTGCTCGAGTGGCATAGTGACACCTTCGCCATCCACGGATGAAGGTATTGAGCGGCGTGGGTTGGAAAAAGGGTACCGAACCGGAGCTATCGTCTGTCGTTGAAAGACAGACGCTTATCAGGCGGGGCACACACGTTGGCGAAAAGCCCGGGCCACGCTGATGCGCGTATGCGGGGTCATGGAGTTGGGGTCCTCGCAAAAAGCCGGGCACTTGGGAAGTCGCTTGATGGTCTACGTGCGTCTCGTCACCGGGCATACGCAACTGAAAAATCGCATCGGCCGAGGTTACCAAGGTCACGAAGCCCATTCATTCCGGCATGTCCCCCCTCTGCGGTTCCTCAGACACCGGCACGGCGTTCCCTCCCGAACATCCCGCCCGAACCCCTCTCCCGGTCTTGGCGGCCCCGCGGTCCGGTCCCGGCCCCGGCCCCGCCCTCAGCTCCGGAGTCCGGATTCCGGAAGCACGCACCCGTCAATGTCTCAATCCACGGACCAGGCATCCCAGTCCACGGGCCGGCCAACACGACGCTGCGACTTCACCCGAATAGGCAAGCACACCAGTTTCGTTCCACGACACATGCACCTTTGCGTCACAAAGAATCGTTTCATGCTCACACTTCTAAAAAGGGAGACAACGCAACCCTGTCCCCGTCACCAGTGATCCGTCTAAGCCCAAAGCCGAGAGCCAATGCTGCCTGTCCATGCCACGTTTTTTCCTGCCTCAAGCAGCCACTCACTCGCCAAAATCTCCGCGCGGTAATATATCCAAAGAAATGAAACCCTGCACGTCGCCGACACCAGTGCCGCCAGGGCCGCCACCCTTACCATCCAAACTGCTCGCAGTGGAGCTCAACGCTGGGCCCGTCCGATCGGATGCAGTCCGCCGTCGTGTTCCTCACCTGCTTCATCAGTCCGTGGGGTCCGCACCCCAGCACCAAGGCCTGCTTATGTGCCGGTGTCTCGTCGACGGCGCGGCGGATCAGGGCGCTGACGTCCGGACGCTCGTACCGAATGGGGACGCCGCTGATGGCCACCGGCGGGTCACCTGCCTCCGAACGTTGCGACTTTTCTGACCGGAGCGAGTTGATCGAGCTCTGCGACTGTACCTGCGGTGTCTTCTTTTCCAACTTGGCGGCGTTGCTTATGGCCAGCTCCGATATTTCTTTGATGCCCATCTCCGTCATCGGACTGGCTGGTAGCGGGCTGGCAGGCTGGGATAACGAGCGTCTCGTTACGAACAGTCTCGCATCCACGCGGCCATCATTTCTCAGCGTGATCAGGTGGTCCGAGTACCACTCCAAGTACTCTGTCGGCGAGTTAGCGTGAGGATGTAGGCCGGTGCCGGGGCTTGGACTACTTACCGTGATGCCTGACCACCCAAACAAAGACAATGGTTCTGACCTCGTCGGCCTGCAGCTTCCGGAGCATGTTCAAGGCCATGCCGAACGTAAAGCTAGCCCCACTACCTCCAGCCACGAGCACAACCGTGTCGTACGCAGCGGGATCCGGGATCTTGCCATACGTGCCCTCCACCGAGGCCCGGAGCAACGCGCCAGGGTGTGACACGGCGTACCTGTGCAGATCGCGCGTGAAGCCGTCGTGGGACGTAACGACAAACTCCACGGGGCCCGTCGCGGCAATCGTAAAGGGGTGCGTCTCGCAGGTCCGGATCCTCGGCAGCCACAAGAAGCAGTGCTCGCCCGACACGGCGCAGGCCGGGGGCTTGGTGAGCGTCACCCGTGTCGCACCGTTGGACAGCGGCGTGAGCGTGACGGAGTTGTTGACGCTGAATAGCAAGAGCCGTGTAAGGCGGACCAGTCGGTCCATGGCCCACAGCCCAGCCGCGACGAGCGTCATGATAATGGTCTTCTTGCCCAGCTCCGGCTGGTGCAGGCCGACCATGACAATGGCCAGCGCCCAAAAGGAGACGTGCACGTAGTAGAAGAGCTCATACCACCATCGCCTCAGGACGGCGCCGGCGAAGCCAATAATGACAAACGATATGCCGGCCACCATGCCGTATATCTCGCCGACCTCAAGGAGCCGGTCGCTTCGCCCGTCTTCCACAAAGTAGGCAGAGTAGCAGCTGGCGTGGATAATGACATGCGTTATCGTCATGTAGCCGGCAACCTGATGCAGCACGTTGAGGCGCTCATATGACCACGCGGTCAGGAAAGCCAGCGGAGTGTTCTTGAGAGCCAGCACAATGAGCACGACCAAGTTGGCCAGAGCAAGCCTGTCCGGGTCAGCAGGTGGCTTTGTTTGGCTCGACGTCGAAGGCACTTACCAGGCCGTTCTCGCGGCAATATTGGTAATCATCCCCATGTTCTTGTTGTCAATGTTTGTGAAAGTCACGATGATGTTGATGGCCACGTAGAGAGAGACGAGTCCGGCGTGGCCGACCGAAGGAAGGCAAGGTACACTGCGGATTGACACGCTCCGTATCTTCCTGCGTCTGGTGTCAGCGACAACTTTACAGCCAAATACCCAAGATGATGACTGCCGTACCGGGAAAGCGATGCCAGTACTGTAGTCTTGTTGGTTTGGGTCCGTCCCTCGGATAGCCGCTGCCCAAGCCGTCGTACCAGGTGGAGCAGCATAAACACGACCGCTATTGCCAGCATCGAAACAAGGTAGGCAAGCGTCGACTCCTCGTTAAGCCGCGTCCGCCTCGCCATCCTCCTCGTAAAGTCTTCATTGTGCGAACCCCCAGCCATTTTCGACGAGTGTTCTCAAGTCTCAAAGTCGAAGTTTGCGTCGTCCACGTTCGTCGATGGGCAGAGAAGCACGTAAGAGAGTGAGAAAGCCACGGGAGGTGGAGGTTGATGTCTGTCAAGTACACCGAGTGTCTCGGGCCGCGAGGCCTTGTTACACTGGGGGCCTGGCGGAACGGCTCCGCGAGCAGTTCGCGCTTTCGCGCTGCTGAGCCCCGTAGCTGCCGGTGCAAGCGGGCGGGCGCTGGGAGAGGGACTTTTTCAGAAACAGGGAAGGCGATGCCCGAGCATGGAAACTGCCCTCGAACTGAAACCCTGGTCGATGGATAATCGGCAGTGGCGCCGCTGAAAAGCCAACGTACAACGCGAGATGTGCAAACGATAGGTCGCGCCAGGCGTATCGTATCGGATGTCAGCTTGCGTCTCGAGCGCAGGGCAGAGTCGTCGTACGTGTCCTAGGGGTGTTGATCTGGATTTGACAGGTCCCGTGTTTATATCAATGGATGCGATGGCTACGGACACGCCACGGGGCGCAGGGCTGGGAAGGACAGGACCAAAGCAACGTCTCCCAAAGCCATGTTCAACAGGTTCTTGATTGCCGGCGCATGCACGGCCATGCGAGGACACGCACGTCTAGCCCAGTGCCTGAGTTTGGAAGCCGCTCGTCCGCTACGGCGTACGGCCGTGACGGCATGAGATCCGCAACGGGGGCCCAGTCGCGGTCGGAGCTGGGTAGCACTGTGAATCCGACGTGGTGTAGTCCCAGGCTCCATGACTGCACGTCCCCCACCGGTGCGACGATGGCATCGACAAGGAGGGTCCCGGCCCAGCATCCAGGGAAACGCGACCAACCCCCACCAAATGGCCGGCGCATATGCCGTTGCATTCTGGTCCTGTGACTAGTCACGCTTCACGGTCGACAGGGCCGGTGCCTTGCGTTCCTTGCTGAGGCCGCCTTGGAAGCCGCCGCTCGAGTGCCTGTTGAAGAAGTTGACAGTTTTGTCGGATCACGGCGTGCGCGATAGGTTACCGTTACACCACCGGCGAAGGCGTCCAAACCTGGATGCAGGCCCACGGTGGTGTCTCAGGCGTAAGAGGCGTCGTCACCGGTGGGCCTCTGTCAAACCGTCTCTTCATCGAACCGAATCGCATTTGTGTACTTTGTAATGCTTATTATGCTTGAGGCAACAGGCCGCTCGGGGGGATACCTCATTCATTATTCATCGCGAGGACATGGCGGGACTGAGCCTTCTCGGCAAGTGAGATTGGCCGAGCAGCCCAGCGAATGACTCTCACGGCCGCACGACCTCCACGGATCTGTCAGCTTGACAAAGTGCTCTCCCACAGACGACCGGTCCAGTTTTGCCTATCAAGGGGTGCCGGTGGGATGGAGTCGACGATCGAAACAGGGGGTGGCCCCGAATTGGCAGGACAAAGGATAAGTGCCTCTGGGAGGAAGCAGTAGGGCCATTACCACCCAAAGGTCCAGGGTTCTCCACACTTCCAACGTCCCATTATCGGCGCGGCGAGGCTAGACCTCATGTCACGGCGGGCCGCTGCGTGCGTGCGTCCGCCATGCTGTCTCGTCTGCGGGAGCATGCCAAGGCAGCGGCCACGGTCCGGAGACGATTGGGCTTGGACGGCGTGGCCCAAGTAGGCGACCATACCATGCCGGTAGTGTCACTCTGAACCATGGGGTCAGTTCCAGATGAGACTCTCCGTGCAACGGTGCGCGTCATCGTGATAGCAATCGGCGACATGGTCGTGGGTGAGTGGTCGACCCCCTCTGGTGTTGCATGTGCGAGCTATGCCCATCGCGACTGTGACGGATAACTAAGGGATATGTCAGCCGGAGTCCCAGCTGCCGAAGGAGGGGCACGCCAACACGCGGGAGCGCACGGGTAGGCTTTTAAATTTCATTTTGGCTTTCCGAGGCGAACGGAAATGCTCTTCCGCCCGGCAGATGGGGATCTCAGATGCGGCACAACGACTTCGTGGTGGCGGAGCACCTCTGCCCTCCCGAGTCCACAAAACGAGGCGCAAAGGCCGTTGCGCAAAGGCCGCTCATGGTGCAATCATCGAGTCGCCCACTCACTCTCTCGTCCACACCGCAGGTGATCCCGCGCAAAGGTCCGCATGCGCTGCTGCTTGCCGGTTTGGCGTCGCCGCTGGCAGATGGCCGGCGCAAAGGACCAAGGGCGCAGGGCCGACGGGCGCTGTTCGAGCCACGGTCGATGTTACGTTGGAGTAAGGGGGAGAAAAACGCCCGACGTTCCCCCCTGAGGCGAGGGAACGAACAAGAAGGCAGCTCGTCGTGCTAGTGCGCGAGGGCAAGTTTGGTTGAGAGGTTACATCATGGGCAGGGGCCGAGTTGGGCGCGCTGGTGCGCGATAGCGGGGAACCTTGCGTACGCGGGGGAGCCCGGGCTACGTTCCAGGTACCCCTCCATCTAAGCTGCGACGCCCTGGCGCTGCCCATCACAAGCCCGGCCACGAGCCACTTGGGCTAATACCACCACCACACGAACGCGAACTTCTTTCCCCAGACTTGAGATATGCACTATGCAGGTAGTCACCTGCCGCATGCGTGCTGCGACACGCGACTGACTGGGCGTATCTTTCGTGTCGCGGGGGTGGAACAAGGGAGGGGGAGCGGTCTGGCTCTTGGTTCAGCACCAGCCTTGGCAGGAGTCACCACCAGACTTCGGCGTCGAGGACAGACTACATGGATACATTGACTAGCCTTTTCTGTGTAAGGAGACATATAGACTGAGGGACTGGCCCCTGGGGCCTTGGAAGTTGTCCATCTCGTATACTCCATTCCCGCATAGGTACAGTCACCTTTCACAATTGACACCCTGCAATGGAGAAGCCATCACCCGCAAGAACTCAAGTATTATGATGAGGATACTATGAGGCGTGTATATTCACTTTAGCATCTCATTTGCGAGGATCCTTTGCCCCGGGAGCAGGAGGCGGGAAGACACCTCCCGCCGCCTTCGCAGCGTCTGCCTCCTCCGCGAGCTGCGTGCATTCCTTCTTGATGTCGTGCGCGTGCCCGCTCAAGTCCCTGAGTTCGTACTCCTCCGCCTTGATCAGCACGCGCTGAGCCAAGGAGTACGCCTGCGAGTATTTCTGCTCCGTGATGAGACGGCGGCAGCGCAGCAGCTCCCGCTTGCACCCCGTGGTTACCTCGTTGAGCTTGGCTCTGGGGGTGGCCACGGCGCGCGGCATTGTGCTGGTCTTGTCTGTTGTTAGGATGAGGGCTTGGGAGTGTCGAGTGTAGCAAAGTTGGCGCGGCAGAAAGAGATGCTGTAAGTGAGTGACGGCGGTGGGAACTGTAGCAGTACTGTTGAGTGTGCTGTTCTGCCTTGACTGCGAGCATTTTCGTCTCGTGAGCACACATGTTATATATTACTGATGGCGAATTGGTCTTCGTCCTGTTCAATTGATGTTCTGTGAGACTCAGAGCTAGCAAAGGATTGGTCTTGACACTGTGCTTTGGTGTCCGTTCCCGCGTTGTGAACATGTCTACTGCGCACGGCCGCTGCTTTATTCTTTGGCGTCGGTGTTCATGCTGAAAACACTGTGCCTTGATCTGGTCCTCATTTTATTCCTCTTGACTGTGTTCACAGCTGTGAAGGTTACGAAAAGCGAATAGCGGTTCAACAATGTCTACGCACACACAGGGAAAACACGAGGCCGACCTCGTCGTAACTGAGATTGAACAGACCAATGGGCCGGAAACAAAGGTTCATTCTCAACTCAGCACAACCCAAACACATAGAAACACACGATGCAGACCTCGCCGCAATTGAGAACATGAGCGTTAGCACAGAAGCATTCATTCGCAAATCAAGCAATCTCTCTCGCAATGTACTGAACACCCATGCGTGTGGGTATTGTGCGTGTTGCAGCGTCCCTCGGGACGAAGTCCGTTGTCAGTCCCGGTGTCGGCGGATCGCCCGCAACCCATCGGTGACGTCGTCTTGTCAGCACCAGGGCGCGCAACCAGTTGTCACATACCATACCAGCTTCCCTGCCAGTGAAGTTCCCACTCCAACAACTTCGTTCCGTGAACACTTTTAACATCGCCGAGCAATGCGCTTGCAACATGCCCCGCCGCGACTACAACGAAGAAGACGATGCGGTCGCTCTCCGCGAGCTCCCTTCCGAGCTGGAGCGACACGACGACGACGATAATGGCCATCAAAATCGTCGTCACGCGAGCAGCAGCGAGAACGGGCACGAAAGTGATTCCCATGTAGAGGCAGAGACACAGGCGCGCCAACGGCGAGAATCGAGGAAGCGTGCGCTCGTGCTGGTCGGCTCGGCCATCTCGCAGCTGCCCATCTGGGGTGAGGCATCTCGTTCCATCTCAACTCATCCCGTCTCATCTCATCGCATCTCATGCCATGCCGTCTCATCCCATACTGCCTCATAACATCCCATCTTATACCATCCTTCACCCACATCCCAATATAGTCTCCCTCACTCACTCGACCTACACGGACTAACACGACAACACCCAAAGGCTTCGCCATGAACTACGGCATCTTCCAGGAATACTACGCCTCCACGCTCGGCACCCCCGCCCTCCCCCTCGCCGGCAGCCCCTCTGCCACGGGCATCATCGGCACCACCTCCAACGGCGTCCTCTACCTCTCCATGCCGCCGCTCTTCCTCCTCCTCACCGCCCGCCCTTCCCGCCACCACCGCCTCTCCCTCGCCCGCCGCCGCCGCCTCGCCGCCCTCCTCGGCATCCTCCTCTCCTGCGCCGCCTTCCTCCTCGCCTCCGCCGCCCGCCACGTCTGGCACCTCGTCGCCGCGCAGGGCGTCCTCGCCGCCCTGGGGGCCGCCCTGCTCTACTCCCCGCTCACCCTCTCCCTCGGCGAGTGCTTCTCCGGAGGGCATAATCGCAACCGTGCCGTTGCGTACGGCCTTACCCTGTCGTGCAAAAACGTCGTCGGCTCGGCGTGTCCCTTTCTCTTGCGCGCCTTGCTTGATAGGTGCGGCTTCCGCGCCACCATGTGGATATGGACCGGCGTCACGGCCGTGACGAGCATCCTCGCCGTCGCCCTCGTGCCGCCCACGCACCCCTCGCGCCTCGGGACAGACACCACCCGCGAGGACGACCACGACGACAGCCATGACCATCACTCGCCGCGGCGCAGACGACCCCCCATGCACTTCCTCCGGCACGCCACCTTCTACATCTACGCCATAGCCATCGCCCTACAATCCTCCGGCTACGGCATCCCACAGACATACCTCAACACCTACGCCCACGACGTCGCGCACCTCTCCCAAACGACCGCCACGCTGCTCCTCACCGTCTTCAACGGCCCCGGCATCATCGCCTCGCTCTTCTTCGGCTACCTCACCGACAACAAGCGCTTCCCCCTGTCCGCCACCTCCACGATGGCCATCGCGGGCGTCAGCTCCGCGCTGTCGGCCCTGCTCTTCTGGGGCCTGGCGCCCCCGCAGAGCGGCTCCATGGCCCTGCTGGTGGTCTTCTCCGCGACGTTTGGCTTCTTCGCGGGTGGCTACAGCGCGACGTGGGGTGGTGTCATTAATGAGCTTGAGGGCGAGGCGGCGCGCCGCAACGAGGCCATCGACACGGGTTTGGTGTACGGCCTGCTCAACGGGGCGAGGGGCGTGGGCTACGTGAGCGGAGGGCTGGTGGGCGTGCCGCTGCTCAAGGCTGGGAGCGGCGCTCTTTCCGCGGCGAGCACGTTTGGGTATGGCACAAGCTATGGGCCGCTGATCATATTCACTGGCATTTCGTCCCTGTTTGGTGGCTGGGGCCTGCTGTGGAAGGGGGTGGGCAAGCTGTCTAGACATCGCATGGCACCCTCTACAACTGTATCACATTGAATCGCTACACATGGTGGCAGTAGCCGAATCCCTTGACACCGGCCTGTGTGTGTTGTCCAACCTTGAGCTCGAGACACGCATGACAGGTGGACACACACCCTCACAAAGTCCGCCACGCGGTTCGCTCTGTCGACAAATGGCCCCGACGCGATGCGAACCTTGAAAGACGACTCCCATAATCAAGCCACGGTATAACTCTCAGTCTGAGCCTCCAACGCCAACCATACACTGCACCCATTTGTTGCCTTCCCAGCAAGCACGTAGCAGCTCCGCTGTCCAGCACTCTCGTCGGCCATCCATCCTACCACAGCATATCGCTATCCACCAGGTCCGGTTGCACGTGGCTCTTGCGTTCCGACCTGCCGCTATGCCTCCGGCTTGTCGCTATCGTCGACTTCGGGGATGGGGCCCTCGGGCTCGGGGGCTTATGGCTCGGTCGTGGTGTGGCCGGGAGGCCCGCCGAGCCTGAGCCCGCCTGCGGAGGGTCGAGGGCTCGATTCGGTCTGCGAGACCGTGCCGGGAACTGGTGACGTATGTTTGGCTCGTACGCATAGTGCGTCCTATGCGTGAGTGGCTGTTGTTGCAACGGCAGCTGGATCGGCTGTTTCGCTCTGCGAGGTGACGTTTGGTCCCATGACGACCCGTACGCGATGCCGGGGTGGAAGACGCTCAAGAGTATGCAGACTGCGAGAGGTATCGCACCGTTCATCACCATAAAGGCCTTCTCGCTCTGGAAGAGGTCACCATCCACACCACCGGCCATCTCTATGACGCGGTAGACGGAGTAGACTAGAAGAAGGGCTGTAGCTGTTTCCAAGCCTGGTCGCACCGTCAGTTCCGTCGTAGTATCGAGGCTCCCTGTCAAGGTCATACCGCGCAAAAACCGGCCGAACCTGTTTGACAGGTAGACGGAAACGTGGCTCTCATCAGGAACCCGTCGACCGGAATTCAGTTTCAATGTAAACCAAAAGTACAGCACAGAAGCCCCGAATAATGCAGCAGACTGAACGGCGAGTCCACCTGCCACGATCCCGGCGCTCTCCGACCGCTGGCATCGGTTAGCCACGTTCGTATCGTGTGAAGTGCCCAACTCACCGGCACATCTCTAAAGCTATATACCACGAACAAGACGCCCACCAGCTCAATGACCAGGGCCGCGCAGGTCAGGCTGCATAGGCCGGCCTCCACGAAGCTTGGTCTGCACGGGCTTAGGTGGTCACCGTAAACAGCAAGTACGTGAGGTAAGACGACGAAAATAGCTGCAGCCGTGAATGTTGGGCCCAGCACCGTGCCAAGCATCGACAGGGTGAAGTAGGTCTGGCTCGCCCTGTCTCCGTGGAGGAGCACCCGCCCCGCAAACCCCACGACGTCGAATGCGAGGCCCGTGGCCAAGACGGCAGAGAAGAACGGTGTCCGAAATAGGTACCCCATGTACAAGGTTATAGGCAAAAGGAGAGAGAAGAGGGCCAGCAGGATGGCGTTGCCTGCAATGCTAGGGCTGTAGGAAAAGTATCCGCCATCGACGGGGCACGAGATGCCGCAGTCGCCAGCCATGATTATGGCCACTGGCTGAGGCATTCATGATAAGGGCGAGTGGGCATGAAGGTCAACGGGCTCCTACGAATGTCCTTGCGGTGGACTAGAGTTATATCCCACGGACACTCCGCTTTGCCCAGGGGCTGCAGGGGAGGCGCCGCACATCAGCATACCTCCCCATGCCTGCAGCGGTTTTGCTCGAAACCGGCGAAGAGGGGAGGCTCTCTTTGGTGACCCCGGGCTGATCTGACAGCCCCGGACCGTACCTGCTGGCTGCCTTGTGCCTGCGCGGTACATGAGTGCCTCAAGAGCCAATGACTCTCCGCGACGAGACAAGGTTGTGCAACGACGACCGTTGGTCAGAGAGAGCTCCAGCTCTGCAAGTGGCAAAGAAGATGCAGGCGTTGACAGTCGACTGGAGGGAGACCACGACCAAGGGGCTATCAACAAGACGAGGAGAGGGGTTGAGGACCCGACAGTATGGTTCAACCGACAGAAAGCAAGGCTAGGCCCGCTCACGAGCCAGCTCCCTGGTCTTGATTCGGCAATACAAAGTAATGCCACAGTGACGCAGGTGCTCGAGAGAAGCGTGACTGGCAACAATCACAAGAGAGCATCGTGCAGAACTACTCCGAGTGGGCACCGGGAGCCGAGAAGACTTAGGGTGGGCACCAGTTGGATGCACGGGGTAGCATTGAAGCGGCGCCGCCAATCACGAGAACGATGGCGTGCCGTGTCGATGCTGCGCGTATGCATATGCGGGTGCTGGACAGGAATTACGGATGGTGTTGGTCCTCAATGGCTGCCATCAACTGCAACACAGGGCCGGCCCCCAGGAACCAGAACGGGGTCAGCAGCATAATTGCGAGCCACATCATGGCAATCGATGCTTATCTTCGGAGTCGTTCCCGGAGCGGCTCAAGCTGCCGATTTGGGGGCCGGTCCAGCCCGGCCGGCTACAAGCTCGCTGACGGACGGCACCAGAGCTGAGCTCAAACTGGAGGCGACATGGACCAGGGAGGCGTGACGCGGCAGGGCTGCAGACAGTTGCGCTGTGTGAACGGGGGAACGATTTGCGCGTGCGGACCAACAGATGCAACATGGGCCGGGGCCGGGCGGCCGAGGACTCGTCACCGGCGGCGCCTGCGCTCATGGACCGGTCTTGTCGGGCTCAAGACTGTGACCCGTGTTTCGAATGGCAGGCATGGGCCGCGCAGTGGTCGCCGGTCAACCAAAGCAACAAGTTCGTCCGATGTGGGCAAGGTACTGTGATGGCCTGGATGGACATGACCCAACAGCGCCATGGGCATGAATGATCTGGGTGTGACGCGAGTCTGGACGAAGGGCATGTGGCCGTGAGGTAGCGGACACTCGGTGTTGGCCGAGGGGAATGGGCCGGGAAGGATGAAGCCCGGCGGGACAGACTGAACGAACAGTAGTGAGAAGAAGGTGGTGGCCGAGGGTCGGGGACGCGAGATGGTGTGTGCAACGAGGAGTCTTGCAAATCGCTGCGGTGTAACAAGGATCAAGAGGGAGTGGCTGCCGGCTCGGTCAGTGGCCGCCCGGCCGCAGCTTCCCCGGCTGTGAAGGACGGGACGGCGGGGAACAGGGGCTTGGACAGGACGAATTGAGGCAGGTGCGCTGCAGCTGTGCTTCGTTACTGGATGCGGTGTGCTCGACGCCCTGAAGACTCAGGACACGCGGCAGAGCCAGGGTCGAGCGAAGCAGCGCGCCTCGTCAGCCACGCACAGCAGTCAGCCTTCCAACCGGAGAGGTTGTTGTTTCAAGGCTCGGAGTCGAGGCGGACTAGGCATTACGATTTAAGGCACATTTTTTCAAAGTATTGAAGGCAGAGCCATTGCAACTTTGTTCGGTGCGCTTCGGGTGGGACAAGGTGCTTCATAGATGCTGACCGCACTGGCCACCACCTGATAGACTCGTACCTGACTGCCTTGGGGGTTGCAGCATGCCGTATCAAGTTGCAGCGGGACAGAGCTCTTTGATAAGGCAGAGGATCGTCTTGAATGCTCGCCGCGCTATTGGCCTCTTCGACGCGCCGTGTGCGGGCGAGCGGAGCGTGGGCAAAGCCAGCCTGGGTGATGTTGGAGTTGGATGGATGCAGCACGCGGTGCTCGTTTACCAGAACGGTGAGCCTGACACCTCAGCGCCTGAAAAGCGGCCAGCCAAGGGACCAGGCAGCATCATCCACCAGCGCATCAGTGACCAAACAGGCAGGCCTGCCCGCTGCCCCAAGCCCGCCCGGGCACTAAGGTAGCCCCCAGGGCCGTGTATTTCTCGGCAAAACCGCCCCGGCTGGCCGCCACGTCCGCCCATCTCCAGGACCGTCGCCAGCGGCCCTGCGCTAAATAGCGGGGATGTGCGCTGCTGAGTGCTGACTGACTTCTTGGGCAGCGGAGCGCGGGCGCCTCACCGGCACGCATAGGCCCAGTGAGGCTTGGATTGAGGCTGAGTGCCGACGACGTCAACCCACCCGGCGGCCACGACGCGACGACAGACAGACCACACTTTCCCGGCACGCCTCCCGGCGCTTCCACGACCAACCCAGCATCCAGCAGCGACGTCACGTTCCCCCCCGGATCGCTCGCTTTCATCCGCCCTCACAGCCCGAGCATACGTGTTCCCGGTCCCCGTTGCTATTCCTGTTCCTGTTCCTGAATCCCGACACACCCCAGCGAACCCCACGGACCCGACCCTGGGCCTTGCCAAGCTCCTTGTGGCGGGGAACATGTCGCCGAGACGATAAGAGATCGCAGCTCTTCTTTTCCTGTCCCCGACTTCGCGTCCTTCCCAAACCCGTCCTCCCGTCCGTCAACGAAGGCCCGTCTGCCATGCGCCGCGGCAGCGTCTGCCGCCTCCCCCATCGCCCGCCATGTCCATCCGCATAGCGCTCGACAACCAGCCCGAATTCTACACCAATCTCGACCACGTCGCCGGCCGCATCGTCCTCGCCCTCAACCGCTCCGAGCAGGTCGGCAGCATCGTCGTCAAGCTCGAGGGCGAGTCCGTCACCGCCCTCAAGGTCCCCGACCCCTACAACGATGGCACCGGCCGCCCTCCCGGCCCCATGCCCGGCCCCCCCGGCAGCGTCGTCAGCGAGAACCACAAGATCCTCTACAAGGTCCAGCAGGTCTTCCCCGACGAGTACCACTCCAGCTCCAGCAACCCCTACGGCGCCTTCCCCCTGCAACCCGGCGAGCACGAGTTCCCCTTCAAGTTCAAGCTGCCCATCAACAACGCCTGCAGCGACCCCATGGCCATGTCCCGCATCGGCGGGCTCGCCGGCGTCGGCGGCTTCGGCTCCGGCGGCGGCCTGTTTGGCATGGGCGGCGTGCGCGTCATGGACGGGAGCAAGCAGCTGTTCCTGCAGCACGTCACCCGCACCCTGCCGCCGTCCCTCACCGGCTACCCGAACGAGGCCGAGATCCGCTACTACATCAAGGTCACGGTCCAGCGCCCGGGCTTCCTCAAGGAGAACTGGCGCTTCCAGATAGGATTCAAGTTCCTCCCCATTGAGCCGCCTCGGCCTGCCGTCAACGGCCAGGAGGCGTTTGCCCGGCGGCCGTTTGCGTTTCGTGCCCGCGCGCCGACGCAGCAGCCGGAAAAGAAGCGTAGCACCTTCTTCAACAGGAAGTCGGACAAGGGCGGCGGCGAGCCGTTGGAGAATGGCAGCAACGGCACATCGGCAGACACCCCGGGTCAAGCGCCCGCTCCGTCCATTGAAATGTCGGCACGGCTGCCGCATCCTCCCGTCCTCACGTGCAACCAATCCGTACCCCTGCGCCTCATCGCCAAGAAGCTGGTCGACAGCCCCGAGCAGGTGTACCTCGTCTCCTTTCAGATGGATCTCATTGGCATCACCGAGGTCCGCTCACACAACATCTACGACAAGAAGATCAACCGCTGGGTCGTCGTCTCTAGTGCAGACCTCAGCATCCCGCTCACGTCCTCGCCGCAGGACCCTGTCGGCAATGAATTCGTTGTCCCCGACGAGCTGTGGAAGAACAGACCCCTTCCGAACACCGTGGCTCCGTCTTTTGTGGCATGCAACCTGCACCGGCGGTACGAGCTCGAACTCAAGATAGGATTGGCTTGGGGAAAGCCCAAGTCGGGCATGATGCTCAACTCTCAGCCACAAACCATCTTCCTCCCCCTGCATTTCGCCCAGCTGGAGGTCTACTCGGGCATCACGCCACCCCCCGAGCTGCTACAGGCCGCTAGGAATACGAAGCCTGGCCGCGTGCAACTTCCTCCTCGCCTACCCCCTCGAACGTCTGTGTCGGGGCCAAGCTCACCGGCGACTTCACGACCACAACATCCCCAACAAGCTCAGGCCCAAGCGCCACCGCCCATGCCTCCGCACCCGCAACAAGATCCCTTGTACCCGCCGCAACTCGCTCCTGGCCAGACAGTGCCGCCGTACGACGACGCGCCGCCGAGCTACGACGAGGCCATAGCAGAGAACCTTGCAGGTCCGTTTGACGGCCTGCAATCCCGACCAGCGTACAGCGGCGTGACGAACGAGAATGCTCCAAGCCAGGTGCCTCAAAAGAATTAATCTTGAAACTCGGGTGGGGCCCTTGACAGCTGCATGAGATATGACTTGGCGTCGGGGGTTGGAAGGCTGCATAAAAGACGGCCGTTTGAATATTTATGGGAGCCTCTTGGGAGCTTATCTGGGTATAGACGTGAAATTACAACAGTCTTAATGGAAGTGGCATGCAATCTAGTCATCCCAGCCGGCGTGGCCCGTCTATCTTTACAACGACACCGTCTTGATGGACACGTACCCTCTCACACCTGCCGCCACGCCGCCGTCATGTCTTCTCGCGCCGCTTGATCCGCACCCAGAGGGGTGGGCTCTCCCACAGCGAGTGCATCCTAGACTCGCCGTGCCAATCCAGCTTTGGGTCGTCGAGCTCGAATTCGAACCTGTAGAGGAGCTTGGCGAGCGTCATGCGCATCTCCATCCACGCAAGGCTATGACGTCGTCAGCACACGGCTCAACCCTATGCGCAATTCCCCTGGGAATGGCGAGAGGGAGGGCTGCCCGCATGCGCGCACACGGACCCAATGAAGGGGTAGGGGGGTCTTTGTTGCATTTACTTACTTTTGTCCGATGCAGTTGCGCGTGCCCAGCGAAAAGGGCCGGCAGGCGTCGAGGTCGTCGGTGCAGCTGGGGTCGGTCCAGCGCTCGGGCTTGTAGGTCCACGGGTCGGAGAAGTTTTCGGGCGAGTAGTTTGCCGCGAGGGGGTTGACGGACACGACGGTCTACACGTACACGAAGATACATACCAAACGTCAGCTTACATCTAGCTTTGACACAGTATAGCAACTCGCGCAGCATAACGCAATCAGCGCAAGTCCAAGGGGAACGCAACGCACCCCTCCAGGCAGCCACAAGCCGTGCACGGTGTCGCCCCCCGGCGGGACGAGGCGGTGCAGCGCGACGGGCAGCGGCGGGTACATGCGCAGGGCCTCCATGATGACGGCGTCGAGGTACTTGAGGCGCGCGAGGGCGGCGGGCGTGATGTCGGCGTACTGCGGGAACGCGGCGTCGATCTCGTCCCGGAGCTTGGCGACGGCGCGCGGGTTCGCGTGCAGGTAGTAGAAGGTGCCGGCGAGGCCCGTGGCCGACGTCTCGGTGCCGGCGATGACGAGGTCCGAGGCGATGGCCGCGAGGTGCAGCTTCGAGACGGGCATCTTGGCCTGCCGCTGCACGGCGATGGCGTGCGAGAGGAAGTCGTTGGCGTCGGGGTGCTCGTTCTCTAGACGCCTGCGAGACTCGTCAGTATAAGCTAAACATGAACCACAAAGGAAAGGTGGACGTGGAAATCTTTCTGTGTGTGGCTCTCTGGATAGCCCGTGTCGCCGTGCTTGGGGACGACAGCAGGGGAGAGGGGGATTCAGGGGGCGGAACGCACATCGTGACCAAGTCCCGCGAGTACTTTTCGTGTTTGTTCCTATCCGCGAGCATGGCATTAATGGGCTTGGAAAACAGCCAGAGCCCAATCTTGCCCAGCGTGGGAAACTTCTTGAGCGCATCCACGACGCTCATCATGCGCAGCGTCGCCGCGAGGAACATCCCCCACTCATGCAACCTCCCCTTCGCGACGCAGCCAAACTCGACGCCAAACGACATGTGGCCCATGATGTCAAACGTCACCATGTTGAAGAACGGGTCGATGTTGACGACGTTGCCGCCGCGCACGGGGTTGTCCGTCGTCGTCGTCGTCGTCGTCGGCCCGGCCCCTGCGCCCGCGCGACGGTCCATCTCGTCGACCAGGCCGTCGACGACGCGCGCCACGATGCGCTCCACGCCGCGCATCGTGCGGTCCGAAAACGCCGTGCTCAGCTGCTTGCGCCACACGGCGTGCTTGTCCGGGTCGCGCTCCGTGATGATGGACGGCGCCTCGGACGCGAACCGCCCGCCGTCGTAGAACTCGGACTTGATGAACTTTTGGTGGCCCTTGCGCGGGCCGTAGATGTCGCGCCAGGCTTGCGCCGTGCTGAAGGACACTTCTTTGGGCGCGTGTCGCACGACGCGGCCTGTTGGTGGGAGCCCCCCGAGGAGACGTTAGCTTTTGCGTGTCTGGCTGGCGAGACGCTCCTCCTCCTCCTCGTCTCCGGCTCGTCGTCTCCGGCGCGGTACGTGCTGTGAGTGGGCGGGTGAACACACGTACCGTATTTCTCGTGCAGCTTAATCATTTCATATGGCTGTCGGCCAGACAGGAAGCGCCTCGAGTGAGAAAACTAAGACTTGCGTGTGAGAGAAGTGGTCCAAGTACGAATGCGCTCACAAGACGGATAACGTCTCCTTACATTGCTCCATTTGGCGTGCCACGGCCCCGGCAGCTCATTCAACGGGCTCTTCCTCAGGGTATTCCATCTTTGCAGGAGATAGAGGAGCGGGATCTAGACACGGGGGACACGTCGTGTTAGCACGAATGATATCTGGCTGGTCCGCTGGCAAGGCGGCGATTGTTTAGAGCCGTTGTCTGGGCGCACTCACCACCGCAATGACGAGCAGCACGCGAGTAAACATCGCCACTGACGACGACTTGGCGCAATTGGGCGTTTCCCTCGTTGTTTCGATCCCACCGTCTCGGCAATCGCTTCCGTGAGGCAAGATCTTGTTTCGCCAGAGGCGGCGGGGGCTGCTCGGGCCCTGACCCTACCTATGTATAACAAAAACGTCTCATTTTTTCCCCTCCCTCTCTCCCGCTTCTACGCGAGCTCCGCCAAGCGCAGAACCGTTAGTAGTATAGGCTCAGTACTGTATTGTCCGACCCGTGTGTGTAACGACGGACAGATGGACAGACGGACATAACATGGGCGGTCATTGTCACCCGGCCGGTTGTGGCCCCCCGGCCGTTATTGTTGTCTGGCACGCGAGCCAACAACAATACTGCTTCCCGCTCCCCGAGCGTCATGGGCCCCTCCCCTGGCCCATTGCTACCTAGTAGGTAGGTAAGGTAGTTGGGGGCAAGAAACTGCATATTAGCATCCCGTGGCCCGTGCAGTTCTCTGCTCCCGTACGAAAGCAAGGATAGGCTGCAGTTCCGCTCCTGCTGTTTCGGGGTCTTCGGGCCCGTCACGAGAAGCCACTCCGTCCGCCACGATCGCGGTGCCGGCCAACAAGACGATGTGCGTTTTGGGTACTTTTTCTTGGTGCCGCGTGGCAGCCACGGGGTGGGGGTTTTCCAACCAACACGGGCATTTGAGCAACAGCCAGACGCCGGAGGGGGTGGTCAAAGGGTCAGTCAGTCATGGCGGCAATCGGCCATCACGTTCAGGGTCTTGGCTGCGAGCGAGCCATGATCCGGCTACTATTATGTTGTATGCGAGACCGCCTTTGTCGGCCGTTGACAGGGGGCTGCGTCTTGTGCGACGACGGCTGCTCGTCCGCGTCCCCGGGGTGGAGGGGACGGGAAAAGACGTGCGACGAGCGACATGCGGGTGCGCTCACTCCCATGCAAGAAAGCCAATGAAGTAGAGGCGGTCGGACCCTGACATTGTCTCTACATGCTTGCAGGCGCCCGGTTTCCCACCCACCGAGGTGCGCGTCGTGTTACACCGCGCCCTCACCAGTCCTTCACCGCTGGGCAGCTGCAGGAAGAATCATGATATCGACGGCTTGCCAACTCTGAACCTCTGGAGCTGTTTCCATTTGAGTCGACCGCAGCAAACCCCCCCTTTTCTTCGTGGCTGCAAAGTGCGCCAACCTCATCCCGCCCTGGGCAAACATGATGGCTTTCTCCAGGCCATGCACGGGCATGCAATTTTCCCACTTCGACTTCTGCCAATTGAGCGAAGAAGGGTTCGATCAGCCACCGCCTAGCATCGACGACCGCTTAGCCAGCCAGCCAAGTTACGAAAAGGAAAAGGGGTTCCCTCCAACTTGGCAGCGTTTCGCAGCCGTATACATTGTGCCTTTGTAAGTGCAAGTCAAGGCGTGCCGCGCGCACGTGTAAGTCAGACCGACGGGGTGACTGATTGATTTGACTAGGGGAAGCCTCGGTGTGACGTCAGCACAATGGAATTGCTGGACCGCACCGCGCCCATCGCCAATTCACTTTCTTGGCTCCCGCTTCCCGCTCCGCTGTCCTGCCGAAGCTTCGACGACAACAGTGAAGGGCGAAAGACCGCTCACGTCTAACGCGCTGCGCGCAAACACAATCGCCGGTATAGCTTCAGCAACGTTGGGGTCAGGCCACCGACCGTCCCCCAGGCCGCTGGAGCAATGATCACAAGATGGGCACCCCGTCATAGCACCACCACCACCACCACGGCCGCCGCAGCCGCGGTGACACTCGCCGTCCGCCGGCCGGCTATCCGTCCTCATTGCCGCCCATCATCGCCATTACCACCGCGCCGCCGCCTGCTCTCCACCAGCTTTCCCCCTCGGCGCGAAGAGCGCAAGGCCCCCGACCCGCGCATACGGGACCTCGGCCGGCAAATCGCCGACGACTACGCCACCATCCGCGACACATATGGTACGTAGGCGATTCGCCCCTCTCCCCTGCTGCGTGTGATCTCCATGCTCGCGAGCCGTAACACATGCATGCGTTCCTCTCACTGACGCCCTCGCTCACTCTGCCCAGCCACGCCGCGGCACCCCATCGTCCTCGCCCACGGCCTGCTGGGCTTCTCGGAGCTCTCCATCTCGGCCCTCCTCCCGCCGCTGCAGTACTGGCACGGCATCCGGCAGGCCCTCACCGCGCAGGGCTGCCCCCTCGTCGTCGCCGCCACCGTCCCGCCCTCGAGCTCCATCGAGGAGCGTGCCGCCAAGCTCGCCGTCGAGATCTCCTCCGCCTTGTCCTCCTCCTCCTCCTCTTCCTCCGTCGCATCCTCCTCACCGTTCCCGGCTTCTCGGGGTTCATCCGGCGCGGCGGATGTGGGCGCCCGCGGCGACGACGACACCCGCACGCCCGTCAACATCATCGCCCACAGCATGGGCGGCCTCGACGCCCGCCACCTCATCTCCAGCATCCTCCCCTCCTCGCCGCAGCACAACTTCCGCGTCGCCTCCCTCGTCACCATCTCCACCCCGCACCGCGGCAGCCCCTTTGCCGACTACGTCCTGAGCGACTCGCGCCGCCGCTCCCTCCTCCACCTGCCGCGCTTCTACTCGCTCTTCCGCGCCGCCGGCCTCAGCACGAGGGCCTTTGCCCAGCTAGGCACCCGCTACCTCGCCGACGACTTCAACCCCGCCAACCCGGACGACCCCGCCGTGCGCTACTTTTCGTACGGCGCGGCCCTCCACACCGCCCAGCTGCCGATGCTGAGCCCCTTTCGCCTGTCGCATGGTGTCATTAGGGAGGCCGAGGGCGCCAACGACGGGCTGGTCAGCGTGGAGAGCAGTCGCTGGGGCGAGTACAAGGGCACGCTGCTGGGCGTGAGCCATCTCGACCTTATCAACTGGCCGAACAAGGTGCGGTGGACGGTGCGCGAATGGATGGGCATCAAGAGGAACTTCAATGCCGTGGCCTTTTACCTCGACATTGCCGATATGCTGGCCAAGGAAGGCTACTAGTGCGGATAGACTTGGCCAAGTACTGCGCCTCATGCGGAACCAAATATGTAGAGGTCTGTCACCATGCACGAGGCAGTCAATGCGCGGCGCGCGGTGGCTTCTAGCAAAGAGGTATCAGTTGTAGTATTAGAATATAGAAATACAGCAGCCTGGCAACGGGCGAGCAAGCACGAGCACAAGCAAGCCGTTCCCAACTCCCATCGGCTGAGCAGTTCCATCCAGATGCAATATGTACACAACGCAACGTGCGAGCTCCATCAAATACAGCGCGTCAAATGATGGCAGGCAATGCTGACATGCTGGTCGAATCGATCTTGAGCGCACCGAAAGTGGGCGTGATGGGTCGCTGGAAAAGGTCGCGCGTCTTGTGGTGTGGTCGCTGCATGTCGTGTCGCTCCGCTATGCCGCCGGCCCCGACAGCGCAGCATCGGGGGCCGGCATCACCGCATCGCTCCATTCCGTCGTCGGGTCCTTGCCTCCCGGCCAGCACTGAATCTTCCTCTGCGCTTCCCATCCCGGCACGCTACCCCCCGCGCGTCACCCCCTCAGTAGGTGGGCTTTCGCTCCTTGCGCCTCTGGAGGGCCTTGTGGACGAAGATGGAGATGACACCGACAGCGACTGAGGGAGAACCATGTCAGCGGCACGCTCTCGACGCAGCAGCGCATTGACTGCGGGAAGGCTGGCAACATACCGACAAAGACGATGCAGAAGACGACCATGACACCAACGTTTTGGGCGGCCCAGTTCTTCTCACGCTTGGCGAGCTGGTTCATGGCCTCACGGGCCAGAAGGGGGGTGGTGATGGCAGCCATTGCGAAGTGTGGGAGTGGAGAGGAGAGGAGATTCTCTGTCAGTCGATCCGAGTTAGCTTACACGCACAATGAAGTCGTCCGAATCGGGCGGGACGAGGCCTCGAATGATCGCGAGCCGCCGACTGTGCCAATTGGCTGAGCCGAGCCCACGGGATCCAATTGCCATTGTGACGACATTGCCATCAGCCGGCCGAGACGCCGCGCAAGACAGTTCGAGTGCGCTCGCCCAAAAACTGAACGACAGGCCCTTCAATTGAACAGGCCTCGGAGGCGGCAACGACGAGGGACCCCGGGCGTGCCGGGCGCTGCCGGCACCGACAGCGGGCAGTCCAACGCAGAGACCCGGGGCAGAGGCAGGGCAACGGATGGCAGGGGCTCGTGGCAGTCGAAGGCAGGTATCGTGGGCGGCTCGCGACAATCGGGGGACCGTAAGGGCAGGAATTTTTACCTTGTGCGGACCGTACAATGGCTGGGAAGCAGGACTGGGAGGTGAGAAGGAAAGAAGCGACAAATTCGCTCGAGGCGCGCAGGCGGACTGGGCGATGATTTTGTTGATCAGCTTTCGGGCGGCCCTAGCAGCAGGAGCCAGCACCAGGCCGCAGGAGCCAGGCAGGGAGCGAGGCCGGAAAAAGTGGAGTAGCACGTCACGGACCACTCTGGAGACCACTGGAGACACCAGGGAAGGCGCCTGGGCCGCTGGGGCCCGGCGGGGCTCGCGTTTTTCCCGTTTTGAAGGTGCCGTATCCACTGGGGCGCTCGCTGGGCCACCCACCGTCCAGGTGAACCTGCGCTGGGCGTTGCCGGGCCTGGGAAGCGCCAGGGCGCCCGGGCGTCCAAGGGTTGCGCCCGCCCGCCCGCCGCCCACACCGGGGGGCCGGCCATGCGTCGGCTCGGGTGCTGGTGGTGGCCCCAGCACCTCTCCAGCCAGCTCGGCAACGCGAGGTACAGCAGGTACAGTTCCTGAAGAATCGGCGAGGTACCCTCGTACCGGGGCGGGGGCGTCGCAACGCGCCCGCGAACAATGCAGGTACACTCGACGAGGCGACGAGTTACAAAAGCAGAGTCACCACCGACCGCGCCTCAGCGCATGGCAAGTACCGCAAGTAAGTCACAGTGCTGCATGCCCGTGTGTAATCGCAACAGCCCCCAACTCGATCCCGAGGCAGATCAATCCATCGGCGCACGTCACGAGCGTAGGAACTTTGGCGCACGACCAACGGCGAGGGTGGCGGCGGAATTGGCGGGAGCGAGAGAGTCAGGTCACAGGGAGGGTTAAAAATATTCTCCGATGTGAGAGGGGGAGAAGAGCGTCACGACTCGAAACAAGAGAGGGAGGGAGAGGCTCGCCGCCGATCGGGCGCACTCCAGCTTGGTCCATGGTGTACGCACTACTCGGCTGCAACGTCCAGGGAAGGACCATGCCCTGGGGATAAGCGGCGGCTCCAGCTCGGCGGCCCGGGAAACGCATTGGATCAACAACTTGCATGGTGGGAGGGCAGGGCTGGGGACGGAGACGGAGACGCCGTGAGGGTGAGACTGTCGGCGGCAGCAGGGCAAGCAAGCAAGCAAGCAAGCATCAGCGCCAGTTTGCTACAGCACAGCACTCGGCCAAAACCAGCTTGGAGCGCAAACACGATGGGGGCCCCGACATCTCTTTTTCTTCTTCTTCCTCTCTCGTCTCTTGCAAGCAACCCGTCCAGGACCGCGAGGTACAATACGAGTACAGTAGGTACAGCATGATAGGTAATGGCGAGGGCGGCGACTGGTCGGCTTCGGTCCGCCGCAACACCCCCGGCACGCACGGTAAAGCCACGGGATGTGCCTCTGCCGCCGTCCTGCAGCCCAGGCGTCCAGAAGCATCAGGCGCTCTCGGAACACGGCAGTGCAAGGCGGCGCCCTGGGTGGCCCGTGGTGGAGCCAAAAAAACGCAGAAGCCCTGAAGGTTGCGCGAATTTCCAACACGCACGCTCGCTCTCTCTCATCATCAATCAGGCCTGGCATGGCATGGCGCG